TTTTGAAAACAAATTGGATGTTTTTTTTTGCTGTCCGGTACTGTATAACGGAAAATAGTAAAAATTGTAACACAAATCAAATGTTGTACAATGTAAATCACTGGTCGGAAATCACATGAACGGAAAATCGACCCTAAGACCTGTCAAATTCGTGTATTCGACACATAAAAAGCTTTGGTGTATCACGCGATTCTTAATTACAAATCAATTTAAAAATTGTCTGATCTAGACTCCACATAAGGAAAGTTGGTTTGATTGTCGTTATAACCTTGCAGAAATGAGTGCTACCGATAAAGTTTCTACATGTAGGGTTTGCTACAATTCTACCTCAGAATATCCATCCACCTCTGACTCATGCGATCACGAACATAGCATCTGTAGTGCTTGTGTCGTGAAACACATCCGGTCTGAAATTTTCAAGGGAAACGTTGTTAATATTGTGTGCCCTAGTGCTAATTGTGAAGTTGTCCTTGGTTATTGCGACATTAAAAGGTTGATCCCGAGAGATTTATTTGAGCGGTAATTATAAAAAACAATAGCGATTCAGAATTCTAGATACTGTAATTCATTCTTTTTTTTAAAAAAAAAAAACAGTTATGGGTTATTTTTGCTACGTCATGTGATTCGGCAACTTGAAGATTTCCGTTGGTGTAAGCGTCAAGGTTGTGGATGGGGACAAGAACATAGTTCAGGAGGTGATATCATACTCAAATTGACAAATGTTAAATACATTAAATATTCATCCTTTCGGTTATTTTTTAGATGAAGCACCAATCATGACTTGTCACGCTTGTAAATTTAAAACCTGTTATACATGTGATGTACCCTGGCATGAAGGAATCACTTGTGAAGAGTTCAAACAACGAATGGAGGATGATCCTCATGGTGCAGCTAATAATGCCTATCATGATCGACATACTAAACAATGCCCTAAGTGTAAATGGCCGATAGAAAAGAAGAGTGGGTGTGAACACATGACTTGCATTTGTGGTTATGAATTTTGTTGGTTGTAAGTAATGTTTTTTATTTGTGTTACAATTTTTACTATTTTCCGTTATACAGTACCGGACAGCAAAAAAAAACATCCAATTTGTTTTCAAAA